CGTTATCAGTGGCCCACTACCAAATGTGGACGGGAAGCAAATGAAATTCAGTCGTCTGTATCAGCTAAATACTTTCCTACTCAACGAATGTTCACGCAGAGGACTTGCCTTCATTGAGAATTTTAATCTGTTCTGGAATAGGCATGAGCTTTTTGAAGGGAAAGGGCCACATCTGAACACTTACGGAGTAAAAGTGCTGATGGATAACCTTTCTTTTGCCCTGAGATCTCAGCCTGCGCAGCGCGTGCAGCCATCGAAAGGGAGGAAGCCGACTCCAAAAGTCTCTGCACCTCCACCACCTCGAAGGATCTCAACACCACCACCACCTCGAAGGATCTCAACACCACCACCACCTCAAAGGATCTCAACACCACAACCACCTCGAAGGATCTCAACACCTCCACTGTCATCAGAAGCAGCTGCATCATCACCAGCAGCAGCTGCATCATCACCAGCAGCAGCTGCATCATCACCAGCAGCAGCTGCATCATTACCAGCAGCAGCTGCATCATCACCAGCAGCAGCTGCATCATCACCAGTAGCAGCACCAGCAGCACGACCACCACCACCATCCTTCTCCCCAGCCTGCTCCAAAGCAGCCACGCCTTCTTCATCTACAGCGCCTCTGAAGCCCCAATCCTCACCCCAGCCTACAGCAGACAGGCCTGTGCTGGGGTTTCCTCAACCACCTGCCCCTCCATTAAAGACTCCCTCGCCACCTCCCAAGGACCTGTCTTGGGTCCCCCCTGCCACGTCCACTCCATCAAGAGAGAATGGGGACACCTCCCTTTGTTTTTCATCCCCGCCTTCACTGTTAGACCTACCTGAACACTCTGCAGGGCTAATAAAATCGGCGATGAAGACTATTCCTCTCACACCCATATTAGCTCGATCTAGAGTCCTGTCCAACATTCTAAACCACTCCCCATATGTACCTCCAAAACCACCTAGGGTTTCCAATTCACCTACAAAAACCACCTCAGCCAGTCCCTCCCCTAACCTCATGACCATTCCACCCCCACTTCCCCCTCGTTCAACATCCAAAACCTCTGCCTCAGCCCACCCCGGCCCTAACCCATCACCTAAAACCCCTCCACCTCCCTGCCCCCCTCGTTCAACACCCAAAAGCCACCCACCTTCCATCCTCCTCCCCCGCCTTCCCCTACCCCTCTTTTCTCTAAACACTAGGATGCACAGGGTCTCTGCTTCGCAGCCACTGGCAGTCTAGTTAGAGGAGAGACCCGGCTGGGGCCCTGTCATGAAGCCACCTGTGCCATTCCCTTAGTGATAACACAAAGAATACATTACAGAAAAACATCTGGAGTTAATCAGTCTAATCTGGAAAATCTAATTCTTGTTCCGTGTAAGAATCAGCCGACCGCAACCGCTGATACTGAAACTTTGAAACTTGCTACGCTTAATGTCAGATCTCTTTGTAACAAGTCTTTTTTAATCAATAATTTTATTTCTTCTCATAATTTTGATCTTATGTTCATGGCTGAAACTTGGCTTGACCAAAATTCAGAAAATGCAGTTTTAATAGAAGCATCACCACCAAATTTCAAGTTTGAATCTGAAATACGGGAAAACAAAAAAGGAGGAGGCTTAGCTGCCATTTTTAGAGACCACTTTGTCTCCCATAGAATGTCTCTTGGGAAGTTTTCGTCATTTGAATATGTGTCTTTTAAAATACAACAAAAACAATCTCCTCCAATACTCTTCGTTGTCCTATACAAGCCACCGCAGTCATGTCACAGTTTTATTGATCATTTTACCGAGTTGCTTTCAGTTGTATGCACAGATTTTGATAGTTTGGTTATTACAGGTGATTTTAATATTCATGTGGATAATGTTGATGACAGAAATGCAAATGTTCTGTACTTGAATCCTTTGATCTCACTCAGCACGTAAGTGGCCCCACCCACAGCAGAGGGCACACTCTAGATCTGTTAGTTACAAAGGGGGTGATTATTTCAAATGTAAACGTGGTCGATGTTGCTCTTTCGGATCATTTCTGTGTTTTTTTTGACATGTGTTTCACTAACAAACCACCAGTGGACTCTGCAACTGTTCGAAGAAGGCGCATAAATGAAAATACGAGTGAACTATTTATGGAAATGATAAACTTTGAGAATGCATCGTATTCTACTGTAGATGAACTGTTTAACTCTGTCACCTCTAGTGTTTTGAATGTTCTGGATACCGTTGCCCCTGTGAAGGTTAAAATAGTGAAAAATAAGCAGAAGGCGCCGTGGGCTAAAGCAGACTCGGTCAGGGCACAAAAGAGAAAGTGCCGGAGGGCCGAGCGGAAGTGGCGCAAGTCCAACCTCCAGGTAGATTACGAGATCTTCAAAGATAAGTTGTGCGAGTTTAACCGGGTGCTACGTAGTACGAGAGAAAGGTATTTTTCTGAAATGATTGAAGGCTGCAGCAACAATCTGCGTGTTCTGTTCTCAACAGTTAATAGATTAACAAACCCCCCTGTTCAAATGCCATTAGAGCTTACTTCCAAACGTAAATGCAATGAGTTTGCTAATTTTTTCAATGACAAGGTTCAAGGCATCAAAAGCGCCATTGTCTCCAATCCACAGATAACCATCCAACAGCCAGAAAGGCTCTCTGAGCTAACTCACTTTGCACCTGTAAATGATAAAACTGTCCAAGAGATAATCTCCAGTTTGAGCTCCTCCACATGCAGCCTGGATGTACTACCCACTAGATTTCTGAAGTCTGTTCTGAGCAGTCTGTTACCTTCACTCACACAGATAGTAAACATGTCCCTTCATTCTGGAATATTCCCAAAGGCCCTGAAAACTGCAGTCATCAGGCCCCTGCTAAAAAAGAGCAGTCTGGATGCCACTGTACTTAACAACTATCGTCCCATCTCAAATCTGCCATTTATGGGGAAAGTCCTTGAGAAAGTTGTCTACCTACAGCTTACTAGATTTCTTATAATCAACAACTCATTTGATATGTTTCAGTCCGGCTTTAGACCCCACCACAGCACTGAGACTGCTCTCGTTAAGGTTACAAACGATATCCGGCTGAACACTGACGCAGGCAAAGTCTCAATCTTAATCTTGTTAGATCTAAGTGCTGCCTTTGACACCGTCGACCATGAGATCCTCTTACAGAGACTAGAGGACTGGGTTGGCGTCACTGGCACCGCCCTAAGTTGGTTTAGGTCTTACCTTGAAGACAGGAAGTACTTTGTGGAGATTGGAAACTGTGTCTCAGATCATATGGCCCTGACCTGTGGAGTCCCACAGGGGTCGATCCTGGGACCTCTTCTGTTCAATCTCTACATGCTGCCGTTAGGTCAGTTAATACGCAGAAACAAAGTTTCCTATCATAACTATGCAGACGACACTCAGATCTATGTCTCACTGACTGCAGGAGAACATGGACCAGTGGACTCACTCCTTCACTGTATCCAACAGATCAGTGAGTGGATGCAAAACAACTTCCTTCAGCTAAACGCAGACAAAACTGAAATGATTGTCTTTGGTCCCCAGAAACAAAGAGAGAGCGTCATCTGTCACCTACAGTCTCTCTCCCTAAAACCTTCAAACAAGGTCAGAAATCTAGGGGTAATACTGGACTCAGACTTAAATTTTAATAGCCACATCAAATCAGTAACATCAGCAGCTTTTTACCATCTAAAAAACATTGCCAGGATCAAAAACATAGTGTCTAAAGCAGACTTGGAGATTCTTATCCATGCATTTGTCTCCAGTAGGTTAGACTACTGCAATGGCCTGCTCACAGGTCTGTCCAAACAGGCTGTAAAACAGCTGCAGTACATTCAAAATGCAGCAGCTCGAGTCCTGACAAGAACCAGGAAGTACGACCACATTAGTCCAGTCCTCAGGTCTCTGCACTGGCTTCCTGTGGCTCAGAGAATAGACTTTAAAACAGCTCTGCTTGTGTACAAGTCTCTCCATAGCCTCGCACCAAAATATATTAGTGACATGTTAGTCCCATATGAACCAGCCCGGACTCTGAGGAGCACAGGGACTGGACTCCTGTTAGTGCCCAGAGTCAGAACTAAACATGGGGAGGCTGCTTTTCAGATTAATGCTGCTAAAATCTGGAACAGTCTTCCTGAAGATGTGAGACAGGCCTCCTCTCTGACAATGTTTAAAACCAGGTTAAAGACGGTTCTGTTTAACTGTGCATACAACTGAGGGATTTTATATTTTTATCTTTCTTTTTAATGTTCTGTGATAATTTATGATTTTAATGCTTTCTTGTTTTGTTCAGCACTTTGAATTGCCTTGTGTATGAATTGTGCTATATAAATAAACTTGCCTTGCCTTGCCTTGCCAGCTTTAAACTTCTCCACAACAGTATCTCGGACCTGCCTGGTGTGTTCCTTTGTCTTCATGGTTCTCTCTGCGCTTTAAACAGAACCCTGAGACTATCAAAGAGCAGGTGCATTTATACGGAGACTTGATTACACACAGGTGCATTCTATTTATCATCATCAGTCATTTAGGACAACATTGGATCATTCAAAGATCCTCACTGAACTTCTGGAGTGAGTTTGCTGCACTGAAAGTAAAGGGGCCGAATAATATTGCATGCCCCACTTTTCAGTTTTTTATTTGTTAAAAAAGTTTTAATTATCCCATAAATTTCGTTCCACTTCACGATTGTGTCCCACTTGTTGTTGATTCATGACAAAAAATTTAAATTTTATATCTTTATGTTTGAAGCCTGAAATGTGGCGAAATGTTGAAAGGTTCAAGGGGGCCGAATACTTTTGCAAGGCACTGTATGCTCACTAGGTAAAATCCTCCAGCTCCGGTAGTCCTGACCAAGCCGAGCATTAACATCTAGAGATGGGTTCCCGGGCGCAGTACTACGGTGACCACCTCTCCCTCTTGGAAGAGCTGCATTTCAGCTCAAAGTGGTAAGCAATGTCTGTTGTAGGAGCACCAAATTTCATGGTAATAATGAATCCTCCCCTTTCCACTTCAGATGCTGCTGTTTTTCCCTTATATTGTTTTGCTACCGAAAGCATAATCTTGTTCCGCCTCTGCTATTGCCCGTCCGTGCATGTCTCGTCCGGCGGAGGACAGACGTCGTGGGCCAGCGGTGTTCCCACTGTCGCCAGCCATGTCTAGGTGCCCTACGGCCCGCATGTGGCCGTAACTCGCGGGGTGCTTTCCCCTTTGGCCTGTCAGTGACAACCATGGAACACAGATTTATAGAGGAGTAGTTCTGAAGGTCACTGCTCAGTGACACTACGCTTCCTGCTCAATCCCTTTTTACAGGACTTAATGAACAATTTGAGCTGTGTTATAAGTCGAACGTTTTACACTTTATGCCGATAAAGTGTAAAACGTCATAAAGTGTAAAACTTTATGCCGTTTTACGGAATTCCAACCAAATTCCGTTTGGTTGGAATTGCAAATAGTGTTTCTGTGTTGTAGGAGTTGTTATCCAGCCCGGGCGGTGGAGGTGTGCGTCACAGGGGTGATCACCCGTTTGGTTTGCAGTGCACTGTTTTTTTATTTGCTGTGTGTGTGCTTGCTTTTATTTGGTGACCCCCAGCCCAGTCCCACTCAGTCCACGGTTTGAAATCCCAGCTCCTATCCTCTCACTGTGCATGTGTGTGCGCAGTACATTTTATAGTAGCCATCTCTAAAATCAAAAAAGAATCTATTTTAAATAAAGATTTTTCTTAAACAGCCTATTGTGAATAAACATTGTTAGATTAACTAAACAGTCTCTGCCTCTCAGTAAAATCGACCTTGCATGCTTTAAGAAATCTTCAGGTGTAACTCCTGGAGTGGCGTTGTTGGTTTGTTCTGTCCAGGAGTATTGTCTTTAAAGGAAATAATCAATTTACAGAAAGCCCCCCTGTGCGTCACATATAGGACCCCAAAGCAGACTCTGAGATACTGGAGTAGTAGAAAATGTGGTTCAGAAAAAGGTTTATTATCACTGAAAATGTCAGGCGGTGGAGACAGGAGGCAGGCTGGCTGGTCAAAGATCAGCCAGCCTGAACACAGGATACAAACGTAGTGAGCAAAAGTACAAAAAACATCACGGACAAAAAACAGGCACGGTTCACTGACTTGAGGCATTGAATAATCTGGAGTGGAAACCAGGCTTTTGAAGACTGCAGATGAATAGTGGAAGCAGGTGTGCCTCATTCCACTGGAAAATGATCCAGCCACGCCCCCTGTCACACACACCCTGCAGAGAAAAACAAAGGAACAGAACAAACAGATCCCTAACATCGGATTAATAAACAAAAGGTTCAAGTGCAGGATTGTGGAGGGGATTGGGAAGCTTCAACTGTGATGACTGAGCCTTTCCCCACCTCCTCCAGAGACAAACAGTCTGAGCAACCTGTCAGGACAATCAGGCAAATAGACGGGTGGCAGTTCTGAAGATGTCTAATAATGGCCAAAACTTGTTGACCAGGTCACCTAAATATCAACAGTAGTGGTGTTTCATGAGGAGCTTAAGCAGTTCATAGAATTAAGGCTTACAGTGTGTGAGAATGTTAAACAAAGTTGTTATTTTTGACAGAAAATTCATGACTATAAAATACAAGTATATTTACCTTTTGAGATGTTCTAGAATAGTAATATAGTAATAGTAATTCTAATCCTAATTCTGACACTATTTCCCTGAATCATTGTTAGAAAGCAATGACTAATACAGTGCTTTCCTACAAAACAAATGTTGAAAAAAGTATTTTCTAAACGTCTTATCTCTGATGCCATAAACAAGTGGACTGACCAGCCGCGGTATGACATTGATGAATATGGTCATTGTGAAACGGATTGTAGATATTCTTTTGGGAAACAATTTAATTAATTCATAATATATACCAAAATATAGATATGTTAACATTGAGAGCGATAGCTGAAAACTATGAATTAACACAGTGTTTCTAGCTTTCTGAGTGTCCCCTGAAGCAGCTTTTGCCGTGGACATTATACGGAAATATGTGCAAAAGAGAGTGAGCCAGATAATAATCATAAAAACTGAATTGAAAATGGTGTCTCGGTTTGCCACTTGTGAATGTCTAAAAACGTTGGGCCTTGTACAAAAAGTGTCAGATCTAAAAAAATCAAGGTTCTCTTTGGCCAAAGCAATAAACACATCTGGAAGTAGATACATGGCAGTTATCAGCCAAATAAGGACAATAATAATTTTTGTTTTCTTGACCGAACAGATCCGTGAGTGGCGCAGAGGATAGCAGACAGCTACATAACACTCGAGGACCATGATGGCAAGAGTTAATGGATTGTTCATGTTGCAAGCGGAGGCGATGAATATCAAAATTATGCACACAGATCTGTTCATAGTGTATACAGCATAGCTCAAAGTATAAAGGAGGGTAAGCAGGGTCAGCATGGCTATATCATTAATGACCAAGTGGAAGAAGAGGATGTAGCGAGGATTCATTTTGAAAATCTGCAAAAAAAAAGAGAATGTTGTCTGTATTTTTTTCTCAGATGCAAAATTTGTATTATATGGAACTCAATTTACTAATAAACAAGATAAATCTTCCAGAACATCAGTGTTTGTATGTGCTCAGTAGAAAGAGGGATATAAATCTGTAACAGCTGACGATCGTGACTACCATCGAAGGTATTAAAATGCTTAATAATCCTTTTCTTCTGACCTCATGACTGATGAAAGTATAAACCAGCGTCGCATTGATATAGTTGATGAAGAAACAGAGAGACACAATAATGGAAGTCCTCAAAACGGCAACCCTCAGATCATCCCTCACCACCACAAAGGTCGAGTTAAAACTAGAAGAATTCATGAGTACCAGCCTGAGCAAAAAGATTGAAAATACCATTATTGTTATTACTTAAAAATATAAAGAATTTTAGTATTTGTGTATATAATAGTAATAGTATAATTTATTATTTACATCTGCTGATATAAAGTTACGTTGATTAAAAAAAAGATTAATGGATTGTACAGAAAACTGACGGTCTAAATAGCAAATAAAATCTACTGATATTCTAAAATAAAGAACTCACTTTTAAGATAACAATAACTGAGAGATAAATGATAACAATCAACTTGGTAAGTAACTATAAAATCAATACCTTTTGTGCATGAAGCATCCCTGGTTCTTTCATCAACATTTGAACTGTGGAGCAGTGGAGCTGATGTCTCAATGGAGGATCCTTTATAGCTTTTTATGATGTCCTGGGATCACTCGTCGTCAAATCTTCACAACCAGTAAGATAGTACATAGAATCAGAGCGTATGATTGGTTCTTGAAAAGTAGAATCAAGCAAATTCAAGTCAATATTTTCCCTTACATTTCTGTCATATGTATTTTTAGCTTGTATTTAGCTCAACTGGTGTGGGTGACACATATGCGTCACAGTATGAAGGTTGCAGGTTCACAACCTGGAAATCTGGAAACTGAGCATCAACATTCTGACAGGTTTCCCCAGTGGCATTGAAAGAGTCAAATGCTGAGCACTTATTTAAGTAATGTATACTTTATTGGAAAACCGAAGGCCCAACTTTCATCCTGCTCATAGGAAAACAAGGCGACGGATGATTGTCCCAGAAAAAGATAAGATAAGATAAACCTTTATTTGTCTCACAGTGGAGAAAGTCTATTATTTAAGATAATAGAAAATAAAATTAAGATAAAGAACTAAATAAAGTGAGATAAACTCTGGGCTATAATTGCACTTGGTTCAGAAGTTTTTACAGATGTGTATATTGTACTTTGGCAGCGGACAATATGAGAATATGAATATGAGCAGAATTAACATACAAAATAATGTCAACAGGTAAAGTGACTGGTGAATGGCAAAAATATCAGATGGATATGTAATAAAAACATGTTTTTATTACATTTAAATAAATGTTCATCCAGGACATAAGACAAAAGTAAACAGTAAAAGAAAGTGTGAAGGCTGAGGCAGTCTGATGTCGTTGAAAGTCCTTTATTTGGTAACAAGTTTTGACCTGGGGCCCTGTCAAGATTTGATAATCAGGAAAGATTTCAAACTGTGCTTAAAGAGAGTGGCACGACAAACTAGTCACACAAATATGATTCATCAAACAATTATAGTCTACAACTCAACTATTTTGTAGCCTTGGTGAATGTACTGTAGTCTGCAGTGGTGTGGGTGGAGTGGGTGGTGTGAGGTGTCCAAACCTTTTAGTAAAAGAGCCACTTGAGTTTATCAGACTTGACCTGGGGTCGACAACCTGGATTAACTGGATTCTGGAATTTAAAATGGGTCATGATATGACCACAACAGCTGCATTTTATGTGGAATGTTGTGACACAATCATAAACAAATGTCAGTTAATAACAATAGAGTCAACAACAGAGTTTTACAACAATGAAGTGCATAACTGTATTGGTGGAGCTGAAGTTGGTTGGGCAACACTTTCAAATAGTGACTTACGGGACACTGTCTTATCAAGTATGCACAAGATTGCATGCGAAAGACATCTGAAGCTGAGCAGGGCAGGGCCTGGTGAGTACTGTGATGGGAGATCTCTGAGAACACCAAGTGCCACAGCTGCGGCTGCAAAGTACCACACTGTTGTTGTATCCTTAGGCAAGACACTTTACCCACATTGCCTAGAATGAGTGTGGTGTGGCTACAGTTGTTTGTTATCACCACGATGTATGGAGTGAAAGAATTATGACAGTGAGTGTCCTCTTTGAGTGTCCTGAAAAGCGCTTTGTTAAAAAATTATGCATTATAATCATGAGAGGTTTCCATTATGTTCTTTCACACAAAATATACAAAGGGTCCCATTCATTATTTATTCATGCTGCAAATACAGTAAGTAAGCAACAGGTGGCCAATATGGATCTGAACTAATCTTAACACTCGCTCGAGGTCCAAATTTGTTATGGCATTTCTTCCATGTATTATGATTACTTCCAATTTAACATAGCCAGTCCAACACTTTACAGATATATGAGCTTCTAAATACTGTTCATGTCTATGATAACTTCAAGTAAAATAAATGTTCTATTACTCATCTGCTTTTGCACAAAACATGTGTCGCTTCAGGTATTTCCTAAACGTTTTATCTCGCAGTCCATAAACCAGAGGACTGACAAGCCTTGGCATGATATTAATGAATATTGTCATTCCAAAGCGTATATCCCGAAAACGGTTTGGAAATAATACCAAAAGCCCACGGAAAATGACAAAATACACATATGTAAGCATTGATAGCATTAGCTGAAAACAATGAAGCAAGATTGTGTTTCGGGCTTTTCGGGCGTCAGAAGCTGCTGATTTTGCAGTGAAAATGATTTTCATATAAGAGATTAAAAGAGTTAGCCAGACCACAGCCATCAATACTGCATCAAATATTTTATCTTTCTCGGATACATACGGAAGTCGCAGAACATTCGCCCTCAAACAAAACACATGAGATCGAAAGAAGTCAATCGGCTCAACAGCCCAAGCAACAAATATGTCTGGGAGATGATAAAGTCCACTTATCAACCAAATAAACACAATTGCGATGTAGGTTCTTTTCACTGTACATATATGGGAGTGTCGCAAAGGGTAGCAGACTGCAACGAAGCATTCGAGAGCCATAACTGCCAGAGTCATGGGGTTGTTAAAGTTAGCAGCCATGCCCAACAGAACCAGCAGGATGCACAGGGACACGTTCAGAGTGTAAACAATGTAGCTCAACACCTGAATGAGAGTCAAAATGGTCAATAGGATGATGTCGTTCATGACCAGGTGGATGTAGAGGATGTATCGGGGACTCATTTTGAAAATCTGCAGGAGAAAAGCATTGGAAGATGTTGTTAAATGTTATCAGATTGCAGAAAAACCCACAAGTTAACGCATGTGAAAAGACAAGGATTTTTTGTTTACGGTCTGTTATTTTTGCCGATGTTTGGAGAGAAATTGTTCTATGATATGACATTTTATTTATGTTGAACCTTACATTTCCAGGAAACTTCAAAAGGAACCTAAAAACCTAATAATTAGACATAGATTTGATTTCAGACAGTGAGCTTTGCATTGATCTGAATCTGACGTTTCCACTGTATACAGTTTATGAACTCCAGGGGAAACTACAGTTTATCTATGGGCCTATTCAATACATCGAACACATACAAAACCTATCACCTCATTCACAATATTGAAGTTCTGACCTCATGCCTAATGAAGGTGTAGACCAAGGTAGCATTAATGTAGTTTATGATGATGCAGAGAATGACTGTGATCAAGTTAGTCAGAACAGCAGCCTGAAGATTGTGTTGTACAGCAGTCGGAGTCGAGTTTACGCGGGAAAAATCCATTTGGGAAATGGAAAAAAATCTTCAATAATATCAGCGAGCTGGAATAGAATCAATGATAAGTAGTATTTACATGAAATCAAAGGGATAAGATAGAAGATCGTGCAGTACTGATACACAAGGACCTGTAATGGCAGCATTCTGTGTGTGTCTTTCATATATAGGATTTACAACTATTATCCAGGGAGCCAGAGAGAGTAGGTGGTGACTACTTTTATTGGTTCGCAAAAAAACGTTGTTACTCAGAAATTAAGACAACCCTAGCAATCAAATAATTAAAACTAAGAAACTTTCGAAATGGCAAAACAAACGTGTTTAATCCACAAAGACATTAGTTTATCAAATATATTAGAATGTAATTTTATTTGTTTATCTAAATTGCTTAATTGCTTTTAACAGTCCGTTAAAATGTTAAAATGTAAGTTAATATTTTCATAAAGCCTGGTTCTTATATAACATTTACATTTACTGGTGTTTGCACATTTCCTGTATTTTTATTGATCCTTTTTTATTGTGTTGTCAGGGAAACTATGACTAGACAATAAAACAGCACTACAATGACTGGTTCAAAAAAACAATGGCTTTTTAAATCCCAACAGGGATAAAAAAGTACTTTAATCTGTTAGTCCGACGTTTAGTTGAGCGGCCAGATATAGCTCAACCCACTCTGTCCAAAGTGGGTGGGTGGCGTGCGAGGAGGTCTGCTGGGCCCTGTGGACGTCCTGGAGGTCAGGAAAAGTGACTCCAGCTACATGAGCGCACAATACAATATTTTTTTGCCATCAAATAAAAGAGAAGGTAAGAAATGACTCAATGAAACAATGATAAAATGTAATCATAAAAGTTCTGTCATCAATAAAATTCCTCAGCTTATGGTAAAAGAACATGCGCTTGTGGGCCTTGCTGCAGAGAGCATCAACCTGGGGCTCAAAGGAGAGTTATTATCAATGATGGTTCTCAAGTATCTGTACTGATCCAGCACTTTGACCGAGAGAGAGTGAAGAGTGACAGGCAGGAGGGAGGGGGGGACCTCTCACATCTCCTCGGCCTTGGAGACATTGGTGTTGAGGATTGGCACCAAAGGTCGGTTACAGCAAGACCAGGCTCTGAGTCTGCGCCGTTTAGGAGAGACACGAATAGTGTGGCATTTGCAAACTTTAAAATGTGCCGGTTTGGGTGTTGGCTCTTGCACTCGTTAGTGTACAAGAAAAACAGAAGCGGCGAAAGGACACATCCTTGTGGCGAGCCCGTGGACTAGAGGAAGACCCCCGGCAGGGCTCCATTGACCCTCACGCGCAGGGGCTGGTTGATTAAATAATCCGTCAGCAGATAAGCCCTTTCTCAATTGTGTAATCACTGAGTCTTTGTGATGGGAACACTTGGCTGAATACAGTTAAAAGTAGATGTAAAATCAATATACAATAGGCGGGAAAAAAAAGTGAGGATCCTCTAGACTGAAACTGGTCGAGGTCACCTCCGATATGACACAGTAATTCCTGTTTGACATTTTTTTCAAAACTCTTCATCACTTCGGATGTAAGGGCAACCTGCAAAAAATCCTCGTTTTAGCTTTGTTTCCTTTTGACACTGGCACAATAATTGACTCTTCCCAGATATTTCATCAATTTCATCAGGCCCCGGGCTTTTCTATTCCTTAATTTTTCGCAAAATACCAGATAAGTGGCCGCTGTCAATCAATATTTCCTGTTCCTCGTTCTTGTGAGGAAGGGGGAGTTTCTCCTTACAATCTATAACAGTGGTTCTCAAACTTTTTACACCAAGTACCCCCTCAGAATATACTTGCCTCTCCAAGTACCACCACAAATGAGCAACACTACACAGTAGCGTATTACGCTTAAGTGTTCAAATATTTCAAAATGTACTCATCCAAAAAACATAAAAATGTATATATTGAAAGTAGAGCCCATGACAAACTATGCCGAAAAGAATGGCCAGTATTCATCCATTAGGTGGCGCTATATTTATGTCAATAACAGTAAATCAGAGATCAGAAAAATTAGAATGATAAACACTATGAATGACAAAAAATCAAAGTGAACAGACAATATACTTTTACTATAAGTGCAATAGAATACTGTTGTGTGTCTTTGTGTGTTTGGGCGCGTATGTATGTGCGTTTATGCGCACGTTTGTGTGTGTTTGTGTGGTTACATCTACAGAGTGTCGTTCTGTTTAGTGCAGCGAGCGCTGTGACCATAACTGGACTTTGCCGCTGGCTCCTGGTGTGGACTCAGTGATAGTTTGAGCATTAGTCCACTTTTTAGTGGCTTTTTTGGGGTGCACCGCTGGTCTGCTGTCCTGACCCTCCACATGGTCTGTGTCAGCTCTGGAGACACATTTACTGCTCAAACTACCTCCAAATGTAGCCTGACCCTGACTATATTCCTCCATGTCTGCTTCACCTCTGTCTCTCCTGCTCAGAGTGCTCAGGCAGTGATCTTTGACTGATCCACAGAGTTCTGCTGCCACCTGCTTGCTTAATAAAATACTGTCTACAGCCAAACCCCTGACATATATGATACACAGACACAGACGGACAGGAAAAGACTGAAAAAACAATGTTGACAATGATACAGTCTGTCACAAATATTGACAGACATTTATCTGAAGCTTGTCCACTTTATTACGTAGTGACTGCAAATTAGACAGTAAGATAGTTGAAAGATGAATCCGGCGATGACCCAGCCTCATGAGCCTCTGGCGCAGGCCACTGCTGGTTATTTTGCCATAATTGAGAGATCACTGTGAGATCAGGAAAGTTTTACACTCAATAAATGTTTTACAAAAGGACAAACCAGAAAAAAGCCCAAATAAACTGTTACGTGTTGTTATCATGAAAATGTAATTGCTGCTGTACATACGAGGCCCAGACCAATAGATATAAAAGAGGACATTTAATGACACTGAATAATTATAAGATACATACAGACATAACAGAAAATATCATACCCCGATGAGAGATGTTTAAAGAGAGAGAGAGGACCCTGGAAGGCTCTGGGCCTCAGCTTGAGGCCTGCTACATGTTGCATACCAAGTTGACACCAACCGAGAGGCCAAACTAGTCTAGCCCAGCTCTCTATATACTGGCTGTGAGGTCACTCTCAGGTTCCATGCTTGCCAGCCGCCATCGAGGGGGGGACATTGACATCAGCCAAGTGAGAAAATCCATACCAACGGCGGTTTTAAAGTTTGTTTTATATGGGACTCAGGTGTTTGGAGGTGGCGGATCTGAGGCAGCGAGAGGGACAGTACTGATGGAGTAGGTCCGTGAGCTTTGAGGGGGCAAATCTAAGTTTACAAATGTTACTTTATTTCTACAAGTTAATCCGTAGCCCCATTACAAGGTAACATCCATGATGGCCCATGACTGTCACCTCCTTCAGGACATTCTTTCTGCTCCGGAGAGCAGTTTCAGTAACAGACTGATTCACCTTCACTGTGTGGAAGAGAGGTTCTGCAGGTCCTTCCTTCCTGCTGCTTTCGGACTGTACAAAAAACAATGAGGACCAATGAACACTACCAAACAAACCTTACATGTCATGCATCGGTGCATTAAGGGGACCTAAGTGTTTATTGTTTCTTAACATAGACAGCACTGTGTTTGCAGGGAGAGGGAAGTCTTTCATTTTCTGGTATATCTGAGAGGGGTCAGCAGTAGGGTTGCCAACCGTCCCTTGACATACGGAATTGTCCCGTATTATAGAAAAACTATGCGTCCCGTTTTGAATGAATACGGGACGGCTTTTGTCCCGTATTTTCAGAGCCACCTTAAATGCATCACTCACTCACTGCATGTCACACACGCGACACACAGTAATCACAGTTTAAGCGTCTAGCTTTCGGCCACTCAGTGTCAAAGGGGGGGTAGGCTTGATCACATTACATTGGTTTAAAATAATAACAGAAAGGTAAAATTAGAGTGTGCACAAATTTAGAAGTGTTTTTTTTTTTTTAGAAAACCAATAACAGCCCTTGCTGTACCGGAGTTGACAAAGAACAAAGAATGACGCATTTTGGTGATTACAAATTTCTGAAATTGGATTATAAAAATATCATATTTTGAAGCAAAAATTACATATGCATTTCTTTTTCAGTTTTTGCCTGAACGTTTTGTCTCTCAGCCCGTACACAATAGGGCTGATGAGTCTGGGCATGATTTGAATAAATATGTAACATGTGAATATGACATTTAAAAAATGTCTGGGGAACAGGTAAAGAAAAAATCCAAGTATAAAGTGTTGAATATAAGTCAGCATGCACAGAAGCAGTTGAAAAGCATGAAGTAAGATGGTGTTTCTGACCTTCTTTTCTTCTCCATTTGAGGACCTGGCAGCTTTAGCCACAACAAATATATGGATGTATGTGTAAATGAGTACAAGCCAAACTGCTACAAGGTACACGGTGTACAATACCTCACGCTTTCTTATGATGACTGGATGCCGTAACACAGCCTGTCTTATGCAGGTTACAGTAGATAGAAAAAACTCCCTTGGCTCTGTAGCTATGATTAAAAATATGTCAGGCAAAATTCCAATCGAACTCATGCTCCAAATCCATGCGATCAATAAGTATGTCGTCTTTATGGTGCACAGTTCTACATGTCGTAATGAAAAGCAGATGGCGATGTAGCACTCCACTGCCATGACCGCTAAGTTGACAGGAGAGTTCAAAGTGGTGAAAACTAACAGAAATGAATATTAGACAAACAGATGTATTGATGACGAAAAGGTAACTACTGATGTGCAAGATGACTGAGGTAGTGAGCTGGATCATGTCGTTGATCACAAGATGAATGAAGAGGATGTAGCGAGGCGTGGTGTAGAAGATCTAAAAGAGAAAACAAAAAAAGATTTACGTTTCCTTAGGCCCCATCAAATAGCACCTATATCAGTTCAAAATAACCTTAAAGGAATAGTTCACCGTTTTTACATACTGACATATGTTCTTACCTTACCTTAGACTAGTTAATACGTACCTGTCTGGTCTTAGTCCGTGCGCTCTGTCATGCACAAGTCTCCGGAGAGAAGTTAGTGCGCGGACGTAGCGCTCCTAACTTCTCTGCGCACTAACTTCTCTCCGGAGACTTCTCTCTCGCTGCTACTGTGTGTATTACAAGTCACGCTGCTTCTATTGACGGAAGTGAGCGAGAGAGAAGTCTCCGGAGAGAAGTTAGTGCGCGGACGTATGTAAAAACGGTGAACTATTCCTTTAATATTGACATTTTTATTGCATAAATTGCTCCTGGAACTGATTTTACAAACTAATGGCTCTTAAAGGATCTTTTGTACAGTTTTTCATGCACTTCTTACAATTATGGGAGCTATATTTATTAAAATTAAGATTAAAAGAGATCATTTATTCATCCCACTGTGGGGAAATGTATTCTTTAAATATATTCTTTCTATAATCCTCATCCATAAATGCTAGTTTGTCAGAGAGACAGAGAGGTACTTGATTTGAAAAAAACGACGCAAGCTCCTCCCCCTTCCTTTCTGACTGGTCGACACCTACGTTTCCGTAACACATTTAAATGTTAATGAGAGAACCCATTATATATATACATTATTAATACACATGCACGGAGGTTTTCAAAATTATTTGTTGACGTTTTCATGAAAAAAATAATGTTTTATTGCACACAAAAAACGATTGCGGCAAACCTGGAAGTGCTATTATCATGAATTTAACTATATAGGACACATCTGCAGAGGATTGATTATGGATATAGGTTCAGTATATAAATGATTATGGATGTAGGTTCAGTATATAAATAATTATGGATGTAGGTTCAGTATATAAATGATTATGGATATAGGTTCAGTATATAAATGGGTACCTCAGCGCGGAAAAAAAACAACTGAGCATGCGCAGCTGCGGGCATCAGCGCTGATGATTGACAGCCCTTGGCATGACTCGATTGGTTAACGTGGACGGCACCGTGGATTCTGAACTATAGCTAAGAGCAGGGAAGGCGGGACTTACCCGTAATATTAGAATTATTAAAATGATTTATTTTATATCAACATTTAAGGCCAGGAGGTCAATTTAATACAATTCTTAAAATTTGTAATTCATTTAGAGTTACAGACTATCACTTTAAATGTCCCATATTATGCTCTTTTTTTTTCAATCCAGTACAAAAAATAAATAAATTATACTACACTACAAAGTCTGCGAGTCACGAAGCGACAGTGGCTCAGTTGGTGGAGCATTGGCCTTAGAGCCTGAAGGTTGCGGGTACGAGCCCACAACAAGACCTACTTCATGACTCCCATTGTGTCCTTGGGCAAGACATTTAACTCAAATTTAGTAATTGTATGCATTTTGAGTAATTGAGGGCAAACCCAACACATCGGCACGGCCCGATAAAAGAACCCTCCAGTATCAAAGACCAAGAGCGCTCTTTTACTAAATCTTGTGGGAAAAAGGTTTTCATGGCATGTGTATGAAGGCTACAAAAGCACTTTGATAATGTTTTAACCAAAGAAATGTCACCAAGTGTAAAATGGGACCTTAAAAGGATGTTCGCAGATGCCTGGAAACTTCCTCAAGGATTGAGCATATTAGAAGTTTTTTTTGTTTTGGTTTTTGTTCCTTTTACATAATATATTTAACTTTAAATATATTTAAGCAGAGGTTGATTTTCTATATCCTCCTGTGGACTCACCACCTGCAGAGGGTCAGTGAAGGGCTGGTGCTATGAGACTTGGGTGGCATCTCTGATTGCCACCCCCCTGACCCAGAAATGGATTAAAGGGTAGAAAATGGATGGATGGATGGATGATTTTCTATATTACAAATAATTGAAAATCTAATATTTGTGACTTATTGACCTGATGCTTCGAGAAGGTGTGGACGAGCATTCCGTTGATGCTGTTTATAGTTAGGCCCAGAGCCAAAACGATCATGTTCTTGGTCACTGCCACATGGTACGGTTCACGAGAAGATACCAGTGATCCGTTGTGACTGGAACTCGACTGATTCATTGTGGTTTTCTGAAAGAGAAAAATATAATGATAAAAAATAAAATTTATATGCGAGTCCTAAATGGTTAAAAAATGCATTTCAATCACATTTGTCAATACAACTGAATGATCGTTGCACTTGTTTGTTTTACTACTAATAAAACCAGTGTTTATGTGCTCACTTGTTTCATTATGTTCTTGAATATTCTTAAATCACTTGTAAACTAAATCTACCAAACTCATCCATGTATTAGAACAATAGATCATATTGTATTATTTTCTTAACAAATCAACAACAGCATTAGGGTTTTAACGTCTAATCAGTAAATGTTTTTTATTTAATTCCTAAAATTTATCTTTCCAGAAAATAAATAATTTACTAGATCACTCATAAAATTAAACCACATGAAAACCATATCTCACAATTTTCTGTGCGTTCTATCTATAGTTTTCACATGCAGGTCTTTTTCACTTCTGTCAGGCCTTTGGATCAGTTTTCAGTGGATAAGCCTCAATCAGCTCTCAGTAAAAAATGTAATATATCTAAGACAGTACGATGTGGTCGGACATAAACAAGACTGTTTGAAAATAATTAAAAAAACAATAAATAACAGCGTTTTTAAGGTTTATGAAATGAAACTATAAATAACATCGTTACTTTCAGTTTGACAGAGAGCTCAGTTCCCTTTTCCCATAATGTTGTTTGAAAGAAAATGCAGTTGATCACTAATAGTCGAACAATAGTTAATAGTCAATAGTTCTAACAATTAAACAGTAGTTTTATCATCAATAGTTTTAAAAGTGAAATTAATAGTTACCTAATGGAACTTAAGTTCTACGAATAGGTGCGTAGTCCCTTAGGACTTTGCTAGTGGGATATCACTCGTGACCCCCAGGTCACACGCCAGAGAGATCAAAATAATTTGCTCCAATCACCAGCCACCCTCCTCTATAAATGCCCCTGCACACAGCCGCACCCCCTCTTGAACTCTGCCAAGCCGGGCTGGCCTGATGGGCTCGTAGCTAAGGGACTACGCACCTATTCGTAGAACTTAAGTTACATTAGGTAACTATTAATTCTACGTCATGGTGCTACGTCCCTTAGGACTTCGCTAGTGGGACACAACGCGGAGGCCGTAGGAACATGTACTCCCAGCAGGCCAGCGAAGGGTGATTGGAGCTCCGCCCGAGCAAGACCCTCACACAGTGAGAGGACTCAGGGCAGAAGAAACAATGCGTGTTACAGGGCCACTCCTACCAAGGATACCCCACGTAACACAGATGTAGGTCATCCGTAGTCACAGGACGCCTCTCCCAAGGGCTCCTGACGTGGACTACCTGACCGACCAAACACACATATATGTACCGCACCTGTAGGATGCCTCTCCCAAGAGCTCCTGAACCAGGGCGGAAAGTAAACTGAAGGCCCCCTCAGAGGAGGGACCTAACGGTCCAACTCAGTCCGCTGCACTCAGCACGGAATGGGCCACCGACCGGTCCGACACATCCAAAGATAAGACCGGACGAAAGAGGAGGACGACGCCCAAGAAGTCGCACGGCAGACGTCCTCGACCGACGCCCCCCTGAGAAGGGCCGTAGAGGCCGCCATCCCACGCGTGGAATGCGACCTGAAGCCCACCGGGGGGGCCAGACCCTGCGTCTGATACGCCCGCCGCACAACCGTGGCGACCCAGTGCGCCAGCCACTGAGCCGACAGCGGGGCGCCCCTGTTCTTGGGGCCCAGACACACAAACAGCTGACCACCCAACCTGAATGACGACGTCATGGCCAGGTAATGCCTCAGCATTCTGACAGGACACAGAAGGTGCCGCCGCTCCTCCTCGGGGGAGGCATGCGGTGGCGGATAGAAAGCCCTAATCCTGATGACTCTCGACCTAAAGGCCGACGTGATGACCTTGGGGCGAAAAGCCGGATTAGGTCACAATTCCACCATGCCGTCGCCCTCTCCAAAGGACAGAGAGCGCACACAAGTCGCCTGCCCTCTTAGCAGACGCCAACGCCAACAAGAGGGCCGTCTTAAAGCGACACACTCGGGACTCGCCTCCGCCGCCGGTTCAAAAGGCGGACCCGACAGCCCCCTAAGGACCACCCTGAGGTCCCAAACCGGGGGCGTTCTCTGGAGCGGGGGCTTCCTCCTGCGCGCCCCCCGCAGAAAACGTTTAACCAACGGATGAGAGCGGGCTGTGAACCCCCCGAATCCGTCGTGACCCGAAGTAATGGCTGCCGCGAACACCGCCAAGGTGGCGACAGCCCTCCCCTTGTCAAAGAGCTCCTGTAGGAATCCCACTGGCTCCCTGTGGAGTACAGAATAAAGTTTAAAATCCTACTCTTAACATATAAAGCCATAAATGGCTTGGCTCCCTCTTATCACCAAGACACGTTAGTGTCATATCAACCAGGTCGAGCGTTGCGCTCACAAAACGCCAGACGTCTGGTGGTCCCTAAGGTCTCAAAGGTCACTGTTGGTGGCAGAGCATTTAGCTACCAAGCTCCTTTACTGTGGAATCAGCTTCCCATTTATGTTAAGGAAGCAGATACGGTCTCCACATTCAAGGCCAGGCTTAAAGCACTTTACTTTAATTTAGCATATAATTAGGTAATATATAATATGTAGTGTATATATTATATATATATATGCTGTATTATGTTATATATTATGTTATATATTATTCAATAATGTATTGTGTTATGTTGTATATTATGTTATATATTATGCTGTATGTTATTCTTTATTCAAGGCTAGGTTTAAAACAGTCCTCTTTAGTTTAGCATATGGCTAGGAAGGTAAGACTCGGAGAAGGTTAAACTCCTCAGAGTGTCAGTCAAGCTGCATAGGGAGTCAGTTTGCTGGGAGAAGTATGGTAACTTGAGCACTATCCTCTCCTCCTTCCTACTTTATCTGTTTAGCATTTTTAGGATTCTGACTGTAGTTTGTTCATTGCTATTCACCCGTTGTCCCATTGTCTGTTTCATGGTACGATGACGGGATCTCTGAGCCTGGCCTCTTCCATCTACACCTGCGGACTGCCCCGCCCGACCCGCCTGGGAGTGCTTCGGTCCTGCACCGGACCTGTCCACGTTCAGCGGCCACTGGTCCACGTTCTGTAGCTAGCTTAGGTCCTAGATCATTAGCCTGTCCGTCCGGAGGAGCGGATCCCTTTCTCATATGGGTCTCCCTCCCTGTGGGTTTCCCTAGTGCTCCCCAAGGTTTCTCACGTTTTCCCACTGGGTTTTTTAAGAGTTTTTCCTTGTCGATGCAGGAGGGTCTTGTTGGACAGTTAGTGTCCAACAGAAAGGATTGGTGATGATCAGGACACTTTAGCATTCTACAACATGTATGGACATTTTCTTCTGTGTGTGCTTTATATTCTTCATGTGTTTTAACTGTTGATTCTCTGACCTGTGTTGGTGATTTCAATGGTTTTGTTAAGTCCTCTGAGATGACTTCTGTTGTGACCTAGGGCTATACAAGAATAAATTGTATTGTATTGTGTATTGTATCCCAGGACCCCCTCCAGCGGGCAACGCCTGGGATCCCAGGAACGGAAACCGCACCAGTCGCTGAAGAGCCTCCACCTCGTGGCGTAGGCCCTCACAGTGGACGGCGCCCTCGCCCCCTGAGTGGTCTCCACCACCGCAGGGGGAAGACCCAGGTCTACAATACAATACAATACAATACAATTTATTCTTGTATAGCCCTAGGTCACAACAGAAGTCATCTCAGAGGACTTAACAAAACCATTGAAATCACCAACACAGGTCAGAGAATCAACAGTTAAAACACATGAAGAATATAAAGCACACACAGAAAAAAATGTCCATACATGTTGTAGAATGCTAAAGTGTCCTGATCATCACCAATCCTTTCTGTTGGACACTAACTGTCCAACAAGACCCTCCTGCATGGACAAGGAAAAACTCTTAAAAAACCCAGTGGGAAAAAGTGAGAAACCTTGGAGGAGAACTAAGGAAACCCACAGGGAGGGAGACCCATATGAGAAAGGGATCCGCTCCTCCGGACGGACAGGCTAATGATCTAGGACCTAAGCTAGCTACAGAACGTGGACCAGTGGACGCTGAACGTGGACAGGTCCGGTGCAGGACTGAAGCACTCCCAGGCGGGTCGGGCGGGGCAGTCCGCAGGTGTAGATGGAAGAGGCCAGGCTCAGAGATCCCGTCATCGTACCATGAAACAGACAATGGGACAACGGGTGAATAGCAATGAACAAACTACAGTCAGAATCCTAAAAATGCTAAACAGATAAAGTAGGAAGAAGGAGAGGATAGTGCTCAAGTTACCATACTTCTCCCAGCAAACTGACTCCCTATGCAGCTTGACTAACACTCTGAGGAGTTTAACCTTCTCCGAGTCTTACCTTCCTAGCCATATGCTAAACTAAAGAGGACTGTTTTAAACCTAGCCTTGAATAAAGAATAACATACAGCATAATATATAACATAATATACAACATAACACAATACATTATTGAATAATATATAACATAATATATAACATAATACAGCATATATATATAATATATACACTACATATTATATATTACCTAATTATATGCTAAATTAAAGTAAAGTGCTTTAAGCCTGGCCTTGAATGTGGAGACCGTATCTGCTTCCTTAACATAAATGGGAAGCTGATTCCACAGTAAAGGAGCTTGGTAGCTAAATGCTCTGCCACCAACAGTGACCTTTGAGACCTTAGGGACCACCAGACGTCTGGCGTTTTGTGAGCGCAACGCTCGACCTGGTTGATATGACACTAACGTGTCTTGGAGATAAGAGGGAGCCAAGCCATTTATGGCTTTATATGTTAAGAGTAGGATTTTAAACTTTATTCTGTACTCCACAGGGAGCCAGTGGAGTGATTTTAACACCGGAGTTATGTGCTCCCTCCTTTTGGTACCTGTTAAGATCCTAGCTGCTGTATTCTGAACGAGCTGGAAGCTCTTCAAAGAGGCTTTAGGGCACGCTGCCAGTAAAGCGTT